CCAAAAGTCAAAGTTTGACTTTTCAGTATATAGTTGACTTTTGATCAGTTGACTGCAAAATTCATCTGTCAATCCAATGGATTTGCAATATTTTGAACCATGTCATTAGGTAAAAATGGTGAAATTGGACTATTGGGATCATGCCTTAAACCAATTTACCATTTTCTAGGTCAAAAATCAGAAATTGCCCTTTCCCAATCAAAACCCTAATTTTGACCATTTTGCCCTTTTGGAGATTTGATCAAATTTCTTGAGGAATTATGGTCCAAACTTGATCAAATGATACATATGAGTTTAAAATGTTGATGTGGATAAAAAATTATGAAGTTTTACTGTAAATTGGCCATAGTTGACTTTTTCCCCAATACAGTTGATTTTTAGGTCAACTGTTCAATTGACTGATCAAAAGTGTGATCCAAGGCTTGAAACTTGACATGAGTAATCTTGGGGGTCCATAATGATCCACGAAAGTCATATGAAGAATTGATAGTTCAAAAATCCTTGTGCAAACTCAAACCCTAATTTTGGTCATCAGTGCCTAAGGAGGTGTCTTGAGCTCATCAAACCCTAGTGCAGTTTTGCGCCTAAGGAGATCTTGTGAGAAAATTATAGATAAATGAGAGGGAAAATTTTGGGGTGCAACACATCCCAAGTCGTTTATTTTTCTTTAAAGCCCAAGAAGTCCAAGGGTAAGTTACTATTCTTTTTCCATCTTTGTTTCACATTAATAAGGCCTAAATAAAGTGCCTCAGCAACAACTTCAAGATTGAGCTCTTTCGCAAAAGTAACAAACAACATGTGCTCGGTGATTTTGAGAAAATGAGATTACTCTTCCAAAGTCATAGCGATCTGATAGTCTTGGAAGGTGAAAAAACATAACTCATAGTCGAAAAATGAAGTGACGTACGGAGAGCTCCATTAATAACCTAAATGCCTATCAGGGTCAAAATTCCACCATGTCTTTCACAGAAATTATCTGCATTAGGATGGACTAAATGGTCCTTCAAACTATTTAAAGAAGGCCTAGAACTCTGGTAGAACTGCTCAATAAAACTATCTCTTATGGTTCTCTTGGGAACATCATTGTTGCTGGACGTTACTGACAAAACCATAACTTCTTGAGATGCCGCGAAATGGATATGCACATGCAAGGTTAGTATATAGTTTCATTTTTATACAATTTCTTTTAAAAAGCAAACATGTTATGATGTGAATGCAATGATAATGGGATTACTACATCCATGATACTGATTTCTGTTGTATCGTCTCTGCATAGTCTGCTAGTACCAGGATCACAGGTTCGTAACATAACCGGGAGAACCCCATGAACATCAGACTCGAAACTCAAAATAAATTTGAGGACCACATAGTCACTAACTAAATAAGTCACCAACAGAACGGATCACCATCAGAAAAAGTCATCAACAAAATAAGTCACCAACAGAACAGATCACAATCAGAACAAGTCACCAACGGTACCCGTATTGATTATCCCTTCCCTACTCGCGAGTAAAGATCAGGTCAGGGTGGTAACTCAAAATCACGGGTCCGTATGAAAGTACTACCATCAAGCCACATATGTGGATGATAATGACACTCCATTTGAACCTCATCTGAGCGTAGGCGACATAACTGTACTAGCAAGGGCTTCGTCCAATAGCCGTCATGTTCTAATTTATTCCTAGGTTTCCTAGATAGTGCACTCTATCCTGGGTGTTAGGCCTTTTACCTTGTAGTAACATCCACATAACAAGAAGCAGATCCAGTACAACAATAGTATATGGAAAATAGTAAACTGCAATGCATACATATGCTCAGGCAATCATGTATGGATGAATAAACTGAAAGCATAAAAAATAAACACCCAAAGTAAAGGTAACAAGAGCTAGGAGAAACTCTGGGATGGACCAGAAAATGGTCGATCTGTCCCCAGTGAAATCTCCAGTTGAAACAACCGGCTGAAAATCATCGGACAATGAAGTCACCATCGAATGTCTTTTATCCCACATGAAGGGAAAGATAAACATCGAGAAAACCTGAGAATGGACAAGTCACGATCATGAAACCGATAGATCGGGTAAGGGAGTCGGTTACGTGAGGGGAAGGTATTATGACCCCACGTGCCCGTAGTACTCTATAATATCAACTCTTGTTATCTATCTTATGGGTGTGTTTAATCTATTCTTACTGTTTGTTACTGAGGATGAATGCATGCAAAAGAAAAAGAGAAAATACATAGGGAAAATAAAGTTCTGCTCGCTTGGGCCCTACCCCAATGCCTACATATCTCTTTTGAGGAATTAGAGTTACCATAGTTCGGCTCACATGTTTTTGTTTATTTTGTAATTTTTATGAACAATGTTAATTCCGCCTTTTGCCGCAACTCGACCTTTGGAGACTCATGCGTTGGCATAGAAGTAAATTAACAAGTCCTCACCTGAAAATAGTTTAGAGCTACGTCCTCAAGGAAAGATGCCACATTTGATTGGTTTGTGTTTTGTTACCTTGAAAAAGGGTTTAAATGTGATTAGCAAGTTTTATGATTTGTTAAAAACGGAAAGTTTCAGTTTTAAATGTGAATGCAAAAGGGGAAGAAAAGCGTCTACAGGAGACTATCCTATTTCTAATCCTAAGGTTATCATACAAGGGTATCCATAAGATTTGGATTAACATAAGGGAAACGTCTACTTAATGTTAGCATGCATGGTTTGCAACCTAAGGTCTAACTTGCACCCGAGAGAAGCAAGCACCTCCTAAAGGAACATGGTATGTACAAGGATAAAAAAAAGCAAGCTCGAAGGAGCACACGCATAAAATCGTAAGGAAAAGAAGCTAAAAGCTTTAGTCAAGGGGAGCGGATCACTCGAGACAAACAAGCGGGAGTGAGATGAAAAAATAAAAATGTGATGTCCAAAGCAACTCAACATCGAACCAAGATATAGAAGATCGAGGTAGGAGATAGAAGGCAATATGAACAATCATAGAGGATTATCATTGGTAAATGTAAACTCCTAACAAAGTGTGGGGGTTTGATTGTGAAACCCTTTTCCACTTGACGACACGATAACAAGAATAAGCATAACTCTGAAGCATTGTGGTATGTCACGAGCTAAGGATGACAAGGACGAAATTGCGGGGGTTGATTGCTAACCCTTTCCCACTCACCTCCTTTTGAGGACTTCAATAAGGGATGGGGAAATAATGCGGGCACAAATGTAAACACATTTGCAAAATACCTACACAAATGTATGGTTTTAAACAAACCACAAACAATTAGTACACAGTGGCAAACAATGTGGAATTGCCCTAAACGGGTCTTTAAAAAAACCAGATGGGTTCCTGACATAATCAGCAACGTAGACCTTGTCATACATATCTATCCTACTTCTCATGGAATCAGAAAGCAGTAAACTTTCTACTTCCCATGATATCTAGGAAGCATTAATGAAATGTGACAAAGTGCGGAAATATGTAAAAGCAGTAGCGATGACTACCAAAAGCAAGTGAATCATCGAAAGAGGACGAAAGCAATGGAGAAGCAAGGAGTACACATCGAGCAAGCTTCAGCAAGAAACAAAAACAATCAGAAACAATATGCAAATAAGACAAAAACAAACATGTGTTGCGAATGCAACGCGTAATCAAAAGTTCCTGCACAAAGCACCATAAAATATCACATGCATCTGGACAACATATAATATGATATGAATTTATCAGGACGATGAGAAATAATGTGTTTGCATCAGAAGCGAGCATAACCCATATGCTTCGATCACATAAAAACTTGTTATGTTACATGGTCTAAAGCACCAAAAATATACCTTGCACATTGAACAAACGCGTCAATAATAACGAGGCACAACGGTGTAAAATAGGAAAAAAAAATAAAAGAAAAAGTGTTTTTATTATTTTTTTATGTGTAGAAAATTCCATCAAATACTCTATCATGTTTTATTGTTTCTCTTATGTTGATTATCTCCTCAAACTCACTAATTCTTATTAGTAAAAATCAATAAAAGAAATATAGAAAATTCTAAAGATTATGGTCAGGGGCTGCAAGTAGCAGGCAAGAGGTGTAAGCCAGCAGTATCTAAGCCCAATCCAAAAAATAAGTCCACAAGCAGTCTTTTGTACAATTTTAATAGGCTTCCAAAAATGGTGCAACAGGCGTGCATGGGGTGCAAGCAGCTGCTGGTGTTATTGGAACAATAAACTGAGCGCTAGGCTCACTTAGTGTGGTCCATAACTAGTCTTTTTTATATCACAAATTTCAGGCATCAAAAAGTCAAAACGGCCCTTGGGGAGAAGAGTGCTTCGGTCTATATCACACAACAGCAATATCCATCAGCTATTTGTTTGCTTCAGTTTGTTAAAAAAACATGGACCTAATGGACTTTTTGATCCAGTTCAATACATATCTCATTCTATTTTTTGTTTTATTTCATTAACAAACAAGAAAATAATAAACAACAAATAATAAAAAAATTATTACAAATGAGAAAAGGATTTAGGGTGAAAGTGTGATGATTGAACCTCTTGAGTTCTCTTCTCCCTCTCATCTAACGACGCTCACTGGGAATCACTCTGCCGCACCGAAGGCGGCAGAGAACCACCTCCTCATGAATTTCTTACATTGTCCCTCTAGTTTTTCCTCCCTGATTTCTAATATTTAATTCACCTCCTATAGTTTCCCCCATATCCCTCTACATCTAACAAAAACCGCTGAAACCCTAAGTCGCTTGGAACCAAAATTAAATGATGATGGTATACGCCCTGGTGACGATTCCTTAGTGCTTCGATTTGCAATGCCTCAAACTATGCAACAATGTCAAGAAAAACGTGAAAAGATGAAGAAACGGAAGAGATCGGGGCTTACCTACCAGATTTCATTCGGTGCATTTTCAAAGCAGCGAAGATGCTAAACAAAAACCTCGCTCCAAGCAGCTAATACTCCAGGTAATTACCAGCAAAATCCTTTCATATGCTCTTCTTCTACGCTCGTCTTCTTCTTCTAATTTTTCTTGCGTATGTTGGTGTGAATACTGACGTCTTGCAATTCATAGGCGTTATTATTGTGGCTACATGTTTTGATGCAAAACGACGAAGATGATGTGTGTGAAGTGGTTGCATGAGGGTCAGAGATAAATCAGATGGAGATTCAGTTAAGGTTGCAATTAATTGAAGATTCGAAGAAGATGAAGGTTGAAGTGCGTAATCAATGGAGAATATACAGGGGCTCGAAGGTGGAAGATTGGTGAAGAAGATGTGAAGAAAAAACTCAGAGAGTGTCGAGAGAGATTTGAATTTTTTTTGGTGATTTGTGGAAAATGAATTGTGGTCCCTAAATCGTGAATTGAGATTCTATTATATGGCAGTTAAAGGCTTGAGAAGTTAGTTGCACCTTGAAGCTCTTAGAGCCATCAGATCAAAGATTCGGTTAGAAAATTGAGATTGAGCCACATGAAGGTTAGTTATGTATTTTCTTTTTGTTAAGGATTCTATTATAGTTAGTTTTAAAAGTTGTTTGGATGTCCAAATGAATTTGTGATCCATTTCAGCCTTGTGTTTCAATTAGTTAAAAACAGTCAACAGAATCAGGTAAAAGTTAGTTAGTTGAAAATTATACTTAGTTAATTATAGGTGCTAAAATCTCTTACTGTTAGATAGAAAGAGTTTGTCGAATATCCTATTAGATGATGTTAAAAGATAGTTATAAAACTAAACTGAACTAAAATTTTAAAGAATTAGTTATTTTATATTCTTCTATGAAAGTTAGTTAAAATTAGTTTGTTAGAAGTTATAACTATGTTAATAGTATTTTTAGTTAGCTCAGTTACTTTTCTGTTAAGAACAGTTAGTTATGTTATGTTATAGAGTTGGCTAGAGGCTCTTTGAAAGTTAGCTGAAGTTTTTTTGAGCAATTACGAGCTGTTAAAAACCTGCTATGAAGTTAGTTTATTTTCCTGTTTTTTTTACTATAGGTAGTTTGGTTGTAAAATGACTTATGTAATGATTGTTTCCCTTTAGATCTGCTTTGATTAAATGCATGAATCATTTTGGATTTGTTGAGCTGATGCAGGTTATGAACATTTGAAGAATGACAAAGGTTTTAAAGAATTAACTTGGAGAAGAAGCATAGTGTAAAGTTAAATGAAGACTTGACTCATGGCGTGAAAAGTGGGAAAAGGCTTGATGTGATGAACTGTTGTTTATCTGATGTTCAAAAATTCATAACTTTCACCCGGTTTGACATTTTTGGATGGTTCTTTAGGAGAAAAATTCATCTTGATTTTATCTTTGATTCGTATATTCGGGTCAGGGGTTAATTCTTTGCAGTTGATTTCTGAAAGTGCGAATCATCGGAGAAAATTGCACTCCGGAATGGTTTTCTACCGTACAGTTTGTTGATATTAAAAAAATTATATAAGGATGATTCTTGAAGTGCGAGATCACAAATTTTGTTAGCTTTAACTTTTCTTCAGGGTCCGAGTTCAGATTGTGCTTCAAAGGCTTCAGTTTATAGCTCGTTTCATAAAGTGCGCACGAAAAAAGGCTGAAATTGTCAAGACGACAAAATAAGTCCACTATTACTCGCCATTTGAAAAAACATAAATTGATCAATTTTTATCGTATCGAGGTGATTCTTTTGGCACGACGTCACACATTTCTTCACCGACGTTTTTGCTTGAGGGTTCGCATCAACATTCTGGATCGAAAAACATGAGCTTGTGGTTTGTTCGCACGCAGTACACAAAATAAGTTGAGAAACCTGCACTGTGAATTTTTACACTCAGTTTCTCACCATTAAGGGCACTGTAACTTGCTTAACTTTTATCATAACGGAATAATTCTTTCGGAGCCGCGTCAAAAATTTCTTTATCAACATTTTTATTTCATGTCGCGTGGCAGAATTCCGCACCGATTGTAATGAGCTTGGGGTTCGATCTCACACTGCATGAAATAGGCTGACAATTCATGTTTAGAGCCAATACTATATATTTTGAAATTCAAATTTCAAACAAAACAACACTAATTATTCCCAATCTCTCTCAAATCAACACCAAATTCTCTCCGCTTTTCTCAATAACTCAAGAAAATTCATTACAAAGACTCACAAAAATCAAAATCTTCATCTTCTTCCTTTCAATTTTTTGCAAACTTCCTTCCTCCCCTAGCTCTGTCGGCCACCAGTCCCTCTGCCAACATCTCATTTCCAGCAACCTCCTGCTCGCTTCGTCTGTCGTGCTTTCTAGTGATGCTTCCTTCCTCTTCTCCACCGCGTACATTCGCGGTACACACTCCCTCTCCGGTGATTTTGATCCAACTCTTCACTCCAAGCTTCTATTCAGTGACTCCTTGTTCTACTTGAATTAAATTGAGTTTGATTATGTTTATTTCTTGAGATAATGATCTCTTGAATTGATGATGATGTTGAAGTGTGGAATTGGTTGAATAATGTTTCAATTGGTTTAGATGTTGATTTTAATCAGTAAAATTGATGTTAATTTTTAATACGAATTTTTAGATCTACATGTTAATTATGGAGTTTTGATGAGAACTAATTGTGTTTTCATGAGTTAATGTAATTTTTTATTCGATTTGTTGATGAATTTGATTTCTCGTAATAAAAAAACCTCAAATCTGATAAGTTACATTAACACCTGAATGATGTGGTTTATGCCTGGAATCATTGCTTGAATGTGGATGTAATTGTCTGCAAGCGGTTGTAATTTTTAAGCGACATAACTTGAATCGGAAAAAGCTTTTGTGCCTCCATTTGTGAGTTTTGAACTCGTTTTTATCTGATTCCAATTTGTGCACGTGTTGTTTCCCGGAAAATACAAACACATTGCAAACTTCTCCTTGAATATCGTTTGATGCTTACTTGAGAGTATTTGTGCGTTTGATGATCATTAGTGATGTGAATTATCGGTTTCAATATGTTTTTCCAAGCAATTTTGTGAAACAGTGTAGTGGTGTCAGGTTTTTGAAAATGCACTTGGATTGGATTTTAATTCACGCTTTATGCGTATTTGGATTTAGTTGGATGATTGAGGAGCATTGACTTTGATTCTGTTTAAGTTTGAAACAACATTTAATGCATTTTATGAATGGAGACAATGTTGTCTGATTTTTCTTTTAACATGTAAATGTTGATTTTATATTTATATAATGCATGTTTATTCTTAATTTAGATTTGAAATTCATATAATGCATGTTTGATATTTGAGTGATTCCATGAATCGATACCATGCTTCCCGGTTTTGTAAATTGAGCTTCAAGTGCGGTCTAATTGTTGACTCAAGCATGATTATACTTTCTTTGGTATTTCTGAGACATGTGCATTAAGTTATTACGATTTTAAACCGATATTTTGTGCGATTAATGGGATGATATACATGCTTCCCGGGAATTAGATTTGTGATTCTGTTGCTTGTTTGACTTTTCTTCATTCATGATAATATGTCATTTTTAGTTGTGATGTTGACTGTTTGATTACAATTTATTTTGCTTGTTATTTTCAAACTCATCTTGTGACATTATGCAAGTTTCAGAAGGCGAATCCTTGCACGACACATTTGTTCAGATTATTCTTTTGCTTGTGTAGCATTGTTTTGTGTAGGACGTTAGCTTGACACGAGACTCTCATTTCTTGCAATTTATTTTGAATTGCGACATTTGATTCTTATATTGGATATTGATTCTGACTATTGTGTTGTTGATGTTAGCTTGCTCTATGTTTTCAAAGTTTCTCTGCTTTTGCTTGCTTGCTACGAACTCTTGTTTGTTTGGTATTATTCCGTTTCTGGTTTAATTTTTCGCATCATTTACTGCTTTCTTAGCCATGAGAAGTAAGAATAGAGATGAATGATTGGGAGTCCGTACTTTAGGTGGGAAAATATTTTTAAAGTCCTCAAAGGAGGTGATGTTTTTTTTGCAAAGTCCTCAAAATAAGGCCATGTTTATGTTTTCTTGCGTGAAAAAGTCCTCAAAGAAGGAAATTTCGTTCCCCTTTTATTCTGTGCTTGCTATCGAGTCAAATAATTGGAAAAAAGGGTCCTCAATTGACCCCCATGCTTTCTAGTCCATGTCTTTCTTAGCTCACATTATGCATTGATGCTTTAAACGAAGCCTATTCTTATCCATTTAGTCAAATAAAGTGGAAGACACAGATAGTAATCATCCCCTACACTTTTTCATTCGTTTCAACGATGCTAGCTCACATTTCATCAAACGTTGATGCTCCGAGTTGTTACTCGATGTCGCTGCTCGAGAAAATCAAGTGGAAAGATTTCCTTAATCCCACCTTGAGATCCATTGGACTCTTTGTTTGTTTCATAGCTCACCCTCGATTTTTGTTTTGGCTTCTGCTCGACTTTTTTTGATTGCACTTGTCCTTGTGCTTTTTCATTAGGTTGTAACCTTTGTAAGCTCCCTTAATATTTACTTGTTTCATTTTTGATGCAAGAGATACATTAGGATTGTAATCCATGCATGCTAACTTAAGTATAGATTTTCCTTTCAAACTCAACCTTAGGACCATCATTGTATTATAACATTAGAGATAGTGCTATATAGTTTCCCTTAGATGTTATTTCTTTTCCTTTTGCATCCTTAAGACTAAAACTCCTTTTTTGGAAAATTCATAAAGCATCTAATAATGAAAGATGTGAATCGTATGCAGTTGAGTCTTGTGGCGTAAGGCGAATCGGTTTACACTGAATCTTGCTCTATTATCACTGTGGACTTTATTACGGTTCAAATTACAAATCAAATTTCAAGGTAAAAAACATCAGTCAATTCAAACTTTTTCTGCCTTCGGGCCTTTCTTCAAAACTCTCAAAAGGATGTGTTAATTCTACTATGCAAAATACGACCCGTAAATCCCCAAAGGTCGGGTGAATCCCGTGGAGTACCGTGGAATACCTTCGCCTCACGTAATCGACTCCCTTACTCGTATCTCTTGGTCGCAGGATCGTGATTTCACCCTTCTCAAGCTTACTCGATGTTTACCTTTCTCTTCCCGTGGGATAAAAAACGTTCGATGGAAACTTCATTAATTTTCTATCGATGATTATTCAGCCGGTTGTTTCAAGATGGTCACATACAAAACTTATTTTTCTCTTGAGAAGCCATGGTGAATGGTTTGGTCATAAAAGATAACTTGTGTAACACCCTTCTAATCCACAGGTATCTCGCATAAATTTTCACGAAAAATAAATCAAACAAAACACAAAGGTGTCACATCTTCATATAAACAGCATACAAACATATCTTACTCCATAACACTGGTTTTCTAAAATTAAATA